AGACGGAGTTTCGCTCTTGTTACCCAGGCTGGAGTGCAATGGCGCGATCTCGGCTCACCGCAACCTCCGCCTCCTGGGTTCAGGCAATTCTCCTGCCTCAGCCTCCCGAGTAGCTGGGATTACAGGCACACGCCACCATGCCCAGCTAATTTTTTGTATTTTTAGTAGAGACGGGGTTTCACCATGTTGACCAGGATGGTCTCGATCTCTTGACCTCGTGATCCACCCGCCTCGGCCTCCCAAAGTGCTGGGATTACAGGCTTGAGCCACCGCGCCCGGCCAAAAAAAAAATTTTTTTAAAAGAAGCCAGTATCTGGTCCAATATCCATCACTCAACTCCTAGGCTCCTTTTAACTCACCATATATTAAATAATAACCCTTCTCCTTGTTGTGTGGCTGTGAAGAAGTTTCCTGGTGGGGTACCCCAGTACCTGCATAGGCCAAGGTACCAAGAACAGGCAAAACGCGGCAGATCACAGGAAGTTCCTTTAGAAGCTAATTGAAGCTGCCCACTTGACTTTAGATCTCGGAATAGCAGAGAAAAGCTGGCTGTCCTGGAGAGCCCCTGTGATCCTGTAGTGCAGCACAGACCTGTCCAATTTTCAGGGACTGTTGCTTGCAGGACTTTGCCCGTCAGGAACTCCTGCCCCTTCCCCAAGCCAGCAGCTGCATCAAAAAGTAGCCTGGAGATGAGGCAAACAGTGATTCGGTGGCTGGATGAACCAAAGATAGCTGCTCCCATCAATTCTAGCTCCAGCCCTCCCTGACGTGTGTGTGCTTCAGGCCCCTCTGTAGACAATGTGACAGTTCTTACAGGGCCAGGAAATGAGGGCTGACACTCACCCACATATCTCCTTCAGCTAGATGTGGGAAGGGGTGGTTAACCTTCCAGAGCTGGCACAGGGCTCCCCAGCCTCCTAGCCTCACTACTGTAGCATTCAGAAAGCTGTCTCATGGGCCAGGGAAGGCCAACGATCGATCTGGGGCTCTGTAGCAATGCAGCATGGGACTGAGGGTCACTGCTTCAGGCTGCAGATGGGATGTCATGTACTGCTGCGGTGACCCTTCCACTCATGTCAGGTTCAATCCTTGTCCTTCTTTCTCTCAATGCCTTGTGAAGTGAAGTCACCCCCGGGGATCCCTCCGAGCCCTGCCCCTGCCATTGCCACCTTCAGCCAAGCCCCAAGCCAGCCTCAGCCATCGCAGACCCTGACGCCACTGGCTGTACAAGCTGCCCCCCAGGTAAGGGCTGCCCCTGGGAGCTGGACAGAGGGTCGAGGGCAGGAGTGGGGCATGGGACAGCCAGCATGGGGAAGCCATGGGATCTGGGAACTTCACTGGGCAGGATGGGGAAGGGGCTGTGGCTTGAGGGAGGGACTCTCCTACTAGGCACCTCCAGCCTCACCCCTGCCTAGATCAGGCCCATTTGGAAAAGGGGATCTGCATTTGCAGGATCATCTCCTTGGGTCCAGCCAGGATTGTAGAAATAACATTAACTCTTTCATGCAGCCAGAGTTTTTGTTTATTGAATGACTGAATGAATACACTTGCTGGCCCTCCAGTGGGTGCCTGGAAAGAGTTAATGGATTGTTCAGAGTCCTCATTTAGAGCCAGGGAGTGGCCCCAGCACCGTGAGAGGCTGCCTTCAGGATCTTGCAGGCAGGCAACATTCTCTGTGCCTTTCCCTACATGCCCTGACTCCAAGGCATCCAGCCAAGGGCATGGTCCATCAGAAACTTCTTGAAGGCCTCTGTGGGCCCTTGACCACTTGGTTCCATCAGCCTCTGCTCCCTGGCCTGTCAGCAAGGGCCCGAGGAAGGCCTGGCAGGCAGCAGACTCTGGTGTGGGAGACATGTGCCCCCTTCCCTTCCTATGAGCAGGGCTGCCTTGCCCTGGATTTGGGCGACTTCTCTGGAGGCAGGACAGTCGGTCCAGGCACCCCCTCAAACGTTTGGGCCTCCAGCTAGGGTTCGGCTCTTCCCCATCCTCATGTGGCCTTTGCCCCATTGCCCTCAGAATGCTTTGTTTGTGCTCAGCTGGGTCTCAGAGACCCAGTGTTTGCGCTGTCAATGTTGATTTTTTATTTTTTCTTTTCTTTTTGAAATCTTGTTTGCTTTTGCAGGTCTTGACTCAGGAAAACTTAGCCACAGTTCTGACAGGAGTTATGGTTCCAGCAGGGGCAGTTACTCAACCTCTTCTTATCCCCATCAGTATTGCAGGTCAAGTGGCTGGTCAGCAGGGGCTGGCCGTGTGGACAATTCCTACAGCAACCGTGGCTGCCCTCCCAGGACTGACCGCTGCTTCTCCTACGGGGGGAATTTTCAAGCCACCTTTAGCCGGTCTCCAAGGTAACGGCAACTCTTCCCAGGACTGCACCAGGCCCCCCACCACCCTCCACTGCACCCCTGCACGCGAGCTTGCCATGTTGGACTCAGAACCCACGGCCCACCCGGGGCAACCGCCCTGGAGTCCGGATCCGGTGTCTTGGGCACCTGGCCGCAGAGCTGCTGCACCACCTCGGGACTGTAGGCTGTGACACCACGCTGGCCCTGCAGGCCTGTTTTACTTCAGCCAGCTGTCTGAGACTGCCCCTCTTCCCCTGCGCCAGAACTCACCCCATGACCAGCCTCCTGGGAAGAAATGCGAGAAGAGTCAACGTCTGGTTCTTGAACCTACACATCTCCTGGCCCCAGGGAGGGGGGATGAGAGATGCTGGCACGCGCCAGCCCTTCAAGGATCAAGGGAATCATGGCTGCCTGCCCCACTGTGCCCACTGTCCCTACCCCCTCTCCTTCTTGTGCCAGATCCCTTGGGATTGGAGCCGCTGTGGGCAGTGGCTAGGTGTTTGAGCACCTCTGTCTCTGCCTTGCTCCATAGCAGCTGCTGTGCTGAACACCGCTCTTCCGGCACCCGTACAAGCTGCCCCACCAGTACAGGCCTCCTCGACGGCCCAACCCCGGCCACCAGCCCAGCCCCAGACGCTGTTCCAGACCCAGCCGCTGCTGCAGACCACACCTGCCATCCTCCCACAGCCCACTGCTGCCACCGCTGCTGCCCCTACCCCCAAGCCAGTGGACACCCCCCCACAGATCACCGTCCAGCCTGCAGGCTTCGCATTTAGCCCAGGAATCGTAAGCTGCTGCCCTCACCCAGGGCTGACCAGGGATGGACGGACTCATGGGCCAAGGGTGGAACTGACCCTTCCCACAGTGAAGGACGAGCCCCCCCCGAAAACAGCCCTTTTCCAACACATCAGCAGAGATGGGCTCCCTCTGAGGCCTTCTCACAGCTACCAGCCCGTCCAGATAAAAGCAGACAACCTCTGCCAAGAGGGCTGGGCACATTCTTCAGAACCTCAACCACTGGACCAGGCTTGGAGGGTGGGATGACGTCTGGGGATTGAAAACTTGTGGGCTGTCACTAAAGTGCAGCCAGAGCTTACAGCTGTATGCCGGTGTCTGTCCAGTATGGCTCCTGGCCTGGCAGTGGGAGCTGTTAGATGTGACTAGGATCACATCAGCCTCTCCATTGTGGCCCTTCTACCCTCCCAGGCCTGGCCTGAAAGATTAACCAGAGTTATTTTTCCATGACTGCGGCCCCGCCCTTCCCTGCTGACGCCGGCAGCCCCTAACCCTGGAAACCATCCAGCCGGTAGACATGAGCCTGAAGCCCACATTCACATTCACCTACCCCAGTGCCCTCTTCCCTCTGCCCAGGGCTCTTCTCACTCCTTGGCTTCTGAGCAAGGCTCTTCCTCCACCCACAGATCAGTGCTGCTTCCCTCGGGGGACAGACCCAGATCCTGGGCTCCCTCACTACAGCTCCGGTCATTACCAGCGCCATTCCCAGCATGCCAGGGATCAGCAGTCAGATCCTCACCAATGCTCAGGGACAGGCAAGTGGCCAAAGACAGGGCTGGAGGGTGGGGACTGTGGAGAGGCTGGCCAGGGGAAGGCAGCCAGGATGTGGGCTGTGGGTTATAGAAACTTGAACAGACGTCAAGCTGTTGTTCTTGTCTCCGGTGTGGCGGCTTTCTGCCAGTGCTAAAGCCGGGCAGCGGTGTAGCCACCTCCCTGTCCTGGAGGTGCTCACTTTAGGTGGGGGTTTTCATTTTTGGAGCACCCATCTTGTGGTCAGGCTTTGTGCTAGGTGCTTTCTCATACATCATCTCACTTTATTTGGAGTACAAATCTATTAGATGCAGATTATTTTTTTTTTAGACAGAGTCTCGCTCTGTTTTGTAGAGAGCTCTGTTGCCCAGGTAGGAGTGCAGTGGCGCGATCTCAGCTCACCGCAACCTCCACCTCCTGCGTTCAAGCAGTTCCCTGCCTCAGCTTCCCCAGTAGCCACCACCAGGCCTGGCTAATTTTTGTGTTTTTAGTAGAGACAGGGTTTCATCATCTTGGCCAGGTTGGTCTTGAACTCCTGACCTCGTGATCCACCTGTCTCAGCCTCCCAAAGTGCTGGGATTACAGGCATAAGCCCCCTCACCTGGCTAGATGGAGATTTTTATTCTCATCTTACAGGACAAAAGGCTGAGGTCAGAGCAATTAAGCCACACAGCTAAAATGTGGCAGAACAAGGCAGGTCTCTCTGAATCCATATCCAGACATATTCCTGCTCCACCATAGCTCTGAGGCTGGAATAAAGGAAGTAGCCTCCAGAGTGTGAATCCTGCATTTTACTAATGCAGAAACAGGCCAGAGCGGGTTGAGTGATTTGTCTATTAGTCTCTTTCCCTGGTGGTGTGGGGATTTGGGTTTGGGGTGGAGCTGGACACTATCCTCACTCCTGGGGTCCCTGCCTTATTTCCTCCCAGGTTATTGGAACCCTTCCATGGGTAGTGAACTCAGCTAGTGTGGCGGCTCCAGCACCAGCCCAAAGCCTCCAGGTCCAGGCCGTGACCCCCCAACTGTTGTTGAACGCCCAGGGCCAGGTGATTGCAACCCTGGCCAGCAGCCCCCTGCCTCCACCTGTGGCTGTCCGGAAGCCAAGCACACCTGAGTCCCCTGCTAAGAGTGAGGTACAAGGGCTGGGGGTGGGGTGGGAGGTGGGGCAGGCTCTGCTATTTGGCACGGCTGTGTCCCTCCAGACTGCCAGGCAGGACAGTGTCTTCTGAAACTCCTAGGAGAGAGCCAGGTACCTCCTAAAATCAGGGAGGTCCCAGAGTAGAAAGCCCACCTGCATCCACACAGGTTCTGCCAGGGGAAACAGCACCAGGAGACCCCCTACTCACACACAATCAACATATGTGTATGTGCCCTCAGAGGCCAGTGCTGTTCTAAGAAGGTCAGGGAGATAGGTGATGGTCAAAGTAGACTGGGCCAGGATCAGCTTTAGGATGAACAACCTTCCGAAAAGCCCTAGGAAGTCAGTTTTGTACCCGCTCCTCTACCTCTCCATCCCTCCACCCCTCCACTTGGCACTGTGGCTTTGATTTACTCATTGCTCATTCTAGGAGTATTTTTTGAGTGCCTACTTTTTCCCAAGTGCTGAAAACACAAAGATGAATAAGATGCCCTCCTAGCCTTAGGTAGCTTGACATTAGAGACAGTTACAAGTCAGTGGGAAAAACTCACAGGGACACACAAATAAGGTGGTTTGGGGCCCCAGAGAAAAGAGCTCTCTACAAACTTGGGGGTTAGCAACGCTTCATAGATAAGGGACGTTGGACCATCATAAAGAGATGAAGCCAGGCGTGGTGGTGCTCACCTGTAGTCCCAGCCACTCAGGAGGCTGAGACAGAGGATCACTTGAGGCAGAGAGTTCAAGGCTGCCGTGTACGATGATCATGGCTGTGAACAGCCACTGCACTCCAGCCTGGACAACACAGCAAGACCCCATCTCTCTTTTTTTTTTAATTTATTTTATTGCATTTTAGGTTTTGGGGTACATATGGAGAACATGCAAGATTGTTGCATAGGAACACACATGGCAGTGTGATTTGCTGCCTTCCTCCCCATCACCTATATCTGGCATCTCTCCCCTTGCTATCTCTCCCCAACTCCCCACTCCCCACCATCCCTCCCCTATTTCCCCCCAACAGACCCCAGTGTGTAGTGCTCCCCTCCCTGTGTCCATGTGTTCTCCTTGTTCAACACCCGCCTATGAGTGAGAACATGCGGTGTTTGATCTTCTGCTCTTCTGTCAGTTTGCTGAGAATGATGGTTTCCAGGTTCATCCATGTCCCTACAAAGGACACAAACTCATCGTTTTTGATGGCTGCATAATATTCCATGGTGTATATGTGCCACATTTTCCCTGTCTAGTCTATCATCGATGGGCATTTGGGTTGGTTCCAGGAGCAAGACCCCATTTCTAAAGATACAAAGGGAGGAATTGGATGTGAGTGTTCTACCTTCAGGAACTGCAACAAGTATGGCCTGCTAGAGCAGTAGTTCTCACGCCTGTGCATCAGAATCCCTGGAGGGCTTGCTGGAATGAAGATTCCAGGGTCCCATCTCCAGAGTTTCTTATTTAGTAGATCTGAAATGGGGTCCAAGAGTTTGCATTTCTAAGTTCTTAGGTTATAATAAGGCCAGTGGTTTGCAAATGTAGTATGCACATCCAAGCTTTGTGCAGAACCTCTTAGCTTCCTCTGTGAATAGGGATCATAAGGGTACCAACTTCAGAAGGTTATGAACACCAAAGGATGTATTATACATGGGCAATGAACACTGGCGCACAGAAAGCACTCGAAAAACAAACAGTAGTTCTTGTCATTACCATCATCAGGTAGTGGGGAACTGCTGAAGGGCTTTAGCAAGAAAATGGCTGACCAGATGTGCTTTTTTTTCTTTCTTTTTTTTTTTTTTTGAGACGGAGTTTCGATCTTGTTGCCCAGGCTGGAGTGCAATGGCACGATCTCGGCTCACCGCAACCTCCGCCTCCTGGGTTCAGGCAATTCTCCTGCCTCAGCCTCCTGAGTAGCTGGGATTACAGGCATGCGCCACCATGCCCAGCTAATTTTTTGTATTTTTAGTAGAGACGGGGTTTCACCACGTTGACCAGGATGGTCTCAATCTCTTGACCTCGTGATCCACCCGTCTCGGCCTCCCAAAGTGTTGGGATTACAGGCGTGAGCCACCGCGCCCGGCTCTTTTTTTTTTTTTTGAGACCAGGGTCTTGCTCTGTTGCCCATGCCAAAACTGATGGAGTGCAGTGATGTGACCTCGGCTCACTGCAACCTCTGCTCCTAGGCTCAATCAGTCCTCCCACCTCAGCCTCCCCAGTAGCTGGTACTACAGGTATGCACCACCACACCTAGCTATTTTGTGTATTTTTTGTAGAGACAGGGTTTTGCCACGTTGCCCAGGCTGGTCCTGAGCTCCTGGACTCAAGTGATCAGCCCACCTCAGCCTCCCAAAGTACTGGGATTACAGGCATGCAACACCATGCCCAGCTGAGATAATGCATTTTTTAAAAAATCCCTATTATAGTCTGGGTGCAGTGGCTCAGGCCTGTAATCCTAGCACTTTGGGAGGCTGAGGCAGGCAGATGACCTGAGGTCAGGAGTTCGAGACCGGCCTTACCAATATGGTGAAACCACATCTCTACTAAATATACAAATTGACTGCTTGTGGTGGTGGATGCCTGTAATCCCAGCTTCTCAGGAGGCTGAGGCAGGAGAATCACTTGAACCCAGGAGGCAGAGGTTGTGGTGAGCCGAGTTCGCACCCCTGCACTCCAGCCTGGGTGACGGAGTGAGACTCCATCTCAAAACAAAAAATCCCTGTTATTCACATGGCGTCACAAACTGGACTGTGGTGAGGCAGTTTAAACAGCCCCAGGGAGAGGCAAGGAGCTCTGAACTAAGGCAAAGGCCCTGGGGACGAAGAAGCAATGGATTCGAGACGTACCAGGGTAGAATCCAGGAAACAGGACCATCCTGGAGAAATCTGTACTTCCTAGAAAGCTTTTTGTTTTTTAAATTGTACCAAATACTTTCATATATATTAGTTTCTCCTGATTGCAAACATGATAGGTGGTTTTTACAAAAATTCTAATATTTTGTGTAATGTAAAAAGTAAAAAGCTCTTTTAATTCCATCTCCAGAGACAGTTTCTTTTGATAGCTCACTTAATATGCCTCAAGATTTTGCTTTTCTGGAAATTCATATGTATTTTCTAAAGCCATTATTCCATAAAAACTGATTTTCTTTTTTAAAATTTTTTATTTTTTATTTTTTGAGACGGAGTCTCACTCTGTTGCCCAGGCTGGAGTGCAGTGGCACAATCTCAGCTTACTGTGACCTCCACCTTCTGGGTTCAAGCGATTATCCCGCCTTAGCCTCCCAAGTAGCTGGGATTACAGGTGCGTGCCACCATACCTGGGTAATTTTTGTATTCTGAGTAAGAGATGGGGTTTCACCATGTTGGCCAGGCTGGTCCCGAACTCCTGATCCAACCATCTTGGCCTCCCAAAGTGCTGGGATTACAGGCATGAGCCACCGTACCTGGCCAAAACTGATTTTCACCTTACTTTTTTCACTTACGGTTGTGACTCAGACATTAGAGTAGTTAAGAGGTATACCTCTCCTTTTCAGTGGCTACACAGTCTCTCATGGTGGAGAGATACTAAAAGCCATCTATCCGTTTCCCTATTCAGGCTCATTTGGGGCCTGAGAGGCTCTAAGTAGGTTGAGGCTGATTCTTTGAGGGCAGAGATTTGGAAGCAGTTATCCCAAGCGAGGGCACTTGTTGGCACCTTGGCCAAGTGTACTGAACCTTTTCTGAGCCTTTCACCTACCTGCGTCACAGGTGGGTGTGAAGCTCTGTGTTGGTAGGGCAGGTCACTGTGCTTATTTAGTATAACTGAGTCATTATTATTGGGCAGGTGTTAATAAGAAGCTTCTAGTCTTGCGTTTTTTTGTTTTTTTTTTTTTGTTTGTTTGTTTTTGAGATGAAGTCTCACTGTGTCACCCAGGCTGGAGTGCAGTGGCACGATCTCGGCTTATTGCAACCTCTGCCTCCCAGGTTCAAGTGATTCTCCTGCCTCAGCCTACTGAGTAGCTGGGATTACAGGCGCCCACCACCATGCCCAGCTGACTTTTGTAGTTTTAGTGGAGCCAGGGTTTTGCCATGTTGCCCAGGCTGATCTCAAACTTCCAACCTCAAGGCGATCCTCCCACCTTGGCTTCTCAAAGTGTTGGGATTACAGGCGTCAGCCACCATGCCCAGCCTAGTCTTGTTTTATGATAAGGCCTGGGTGGGAGTGTCCTGCATGCATGAGGATTTCATGCCTGTTTTTGCCCTGCCTGTGGTCCACCCAGGGTCCAGCTCCCTGAGCCTGGCAGAGGGTAGCAAAGCCTTGTTTTCTCTCCTTTCACAGGTGCAGCCCATCCAGCCCACACCAACAGTGCCCCAGCCTGCTGTGGTCATCGCCAGCCCAGCTCCAGCAGCCAAGCCATCTGCCTCTGCTCCTATCCCAATTACCTGCTCAGAGACCCCCACTGTCAGTCAGTTGGTGTCCAGTAAGTGGCTCCTGGAGAGAGTATGGACAAGTGGGGAGGCATTTATTTGGGCCCCCAACCCCTTCAGATGCTGCTTTCCTTGATAAACATCCTGGGGTCCAAAGGGGAAGGACAGAGGCCTAATGTGAGGGGCTGGCTTTTTTTTTTTTTGAGATGGAGTTTCACTCTTGTTGCCCAAGCTGGAGTACAGTGGTTTGACCTCCGCTCACTGCAACCTCCACCTCCTGGGTTCAAGCGATTCTCCTGCCTCAGCCTCTCGAGTAGCTGGGATTACAGGCACCCACCATCACACTCAGCTAATTTTTTGTGTTTTTAGTAGAGATAGGGTTTCACCACATTGGCCAAGCTGGTCTCTAACTCCTGACATCAGGTGATCCACCTGCCTCAGCCTCCCAAAGTGCTGGGATTACAGGCATGAGCCACCATGCCTGGCAGGGACTGGCTTTTTTATTTCCAGTCCTATTGAGGTGGAGTTTGAGCACAATGACCGTGGAGGCTTTTTAGCTGGATGGCTGCTTCTTGGAGAGGCAGAGCTGTGGGCTGTCTCTACTGCGGTCTCTCACCCAGTATTTGAGGAATGTGGGTGACCAACAGGTGTGTTTGAGGCCAGGCCTAGGGAGAATGGGGGAGGGTCAGCAGTTAGAGCTGGAAGAACTTCAAAATAGCTCCTTACCCCTGGAGAGGTGGGTTCAGGCCCCTTTACTTCAAGTCTTGCTTGTCTTGGGGCCAAAGGTGATAAGGGTCTTGAGAGTGCATGAGCCTTTTGCCAGATGTCCTCATCTCTCACTACTGCTTCAGTCCTGACCAATGAGCTAGCTAAGCAGGGATGGTTCCCATCTTACACACTCATCCCTGCTCCCTCCCTCTGGCCTAGAGCCACATACTCCAAGTCTGGATGAGGATGGGATCAATTTAGAAGAGATCCGGGAGTTTGCTAAGAACTTTAAGATACGGCGGCTTTCCCTGGGCCTTACACAGACCCAGGTGGGTCAGGCTCTGACTGCAACGGAAGGTCCAGCCTACAGCCAGTCAGCCATCTGCCGGTGAGTAAGACGGCCCTAGACAGGATTAGGACCTGCTCAGCTGCCTGGTGCCACTGGGCACTCATGGGAACCTGGGCACCTGCCCCTTTTCCATATGACCCCTTGTTCCAGTCTTCTTCCAGATAGGAAGACTGCCTTCAGGGTAGATACGAACACCTGGGGTAGTTAAAGACTGACCCTGTCCTTCTGAGGCTCTCTGAAGTTTATCCTCCAATCCTGGGCATTAAAATGGTCTTCTTTTGGGAACCCAAGACCCTAATCCACTGAGGAATTCTAGCAGGAAAGGAGTACAGCCTGTAAAATTAGTCACAGAAGTGGGAACTTCAATCCTATCCTGGCCCATAACTGTAACCCACCACACCTCATCATGCTCCCATCCCCCTTCTTACAAGGCTTGACTATAAAGTAACACAGCTGAGTTTTCTGTAAGCCACTTATAAACTGGTTTTGGCACCAGGAGGGGTAGAGGCCGAAAGGTTTCATCTGCCTGCCAGCTCCATAGGTCAGACTAGAGTGAGCATTAGAATTCTGTGGAGAATCCTGTTGCCACATCCAGGCTCAGCCAGAAAGAGTGGCCTGTCTTGTTAGTGATGCTGCTATAGGAGTGCGACTGGAGGCCTCCCAAGGCGGCTCTTCAAAGGACTTCATTCATTTAGGTGAACATTCTAGAATGGTTGTTCATAAAGCATTTGGACTATTATTATTGCACTACTGACTGAGCTGAGGTCATGGGAATGGTCTCCCTGTTAGGACCGGGGGCATCAGAGGGTCTGAGGTTTCCGGGCTTGGCCAAGCTAGAGGGGTCCTGGTGGAGGTGGTAAGGGGAGCACTGGGTATGGTCTCACCAGCCCCAAGTGGAGCGGCCCCTGGAGGATGGAGCCTACACCTCGGTGTGGGGTGTGCCAGAGAGACCGAGAAGCTCTCACTGCCTGCCTCTTCCTGGGTGTGGGTTGCCCACAGGTTTGAGAAGCTGGACATCACACCCAAGAGTGCCCAGAAGCTGAAGCCAGTGCTGGAAAAGTGGCTAAATGAAGCGGAACTGCGGAACCAGGAAGGCCAGCAGAACCTGATGGAGTTTGTAGGAGGCGAGCCCTCTAAGAAACGCAAACGCCGCACCTCCTTCACTCCCCAGGCCATAGAGGCTCTCAATGCCTATTTTGAGAAGAACCCGCTGCCCACAGGCCAGGAGATCACTGAAATTGCTAAGGAGCTCAACTATGACCGTGAGGTCGTGCGTGTCTGGTTCTGCAATCGGCGCCAGACGCTGAAGAACACTAGCAAGCTGAATGTCTTTCAGATCCCTTAGGCCCAGCCCCCGGCACTGTGTTCTAGCACTTTGTCTGTTTTCCTTGGCATCCGGCTGCTGCCACTGCCATGACAGCACCTGTCATTTTGCCACGTGCAGCTGTGCTCGCCCCAGGTCATGAGACTCCACTGTGTGCATGTGCGTGAATGTCCCTCTTCTCTCCCACGTATTTCACATCATGGAGAGGCCACATATCCCACATCACGGGGCCACACGAGAGCTCCAGGTTCTGGACTGGTTGCTCCAAAGAAGAGGATTTATGATGTCACTTAGAGAAGCACTTTGCTAGCATGGTTTCTGAAGGGTGAATTCTGGTGGGGAACCAGAAACTCACTGTCTTTGGGGCAGAGCTATAGCAGCTCCTACGGACCACTGGCCATTAGCTCGGCTTTTGATGGCATTCTCTTTCCACCTTCTCTTCTCCTTTGCTCTTCTGTGTTAGTGTGGCAGGTATGACAACTCATCCAGTGGACCCACAGCCTCACACTGCCCTTCCCCACACATTTTGCCTGCAGGCGCACAGAAAGGACCTAGGAGATAAAATTCAGAAAAGTGTGATGTGCTGCTCAGAAGGTCAGACTCAAGGTCTGCCTTGATCTCAAGGTCAGAAGGTTCCCAAACCCCTGGGGCCAGAACATGGGCTCTTCTCTCCCACCTCTCCCTGGTTCCTTTGCAGAGAAATTTGCACTAAAACAGAACGTTTTCTTTTGCAATCCATGTTGGAAGGAAGCAACAGTGAACTGTACCTGTCCTGGAGTTGTCCTGGGGCTGCAGCAGGTTGGGAATTTAGAAAATAAGGCCATTCTTTCAGATTTTAATCTAATCTCTGTTGATGGCCATCCCTCCCACAAAAAAGATCTTGGGTTAAGAAAACTTGCAGCCTGGAAAATCCCACTGCCCAAGCAAACAGGCAACTCTGGAGAAAAATAAGGAAAGGAATGCTGACTTTCTCTGACTTTCTCTTGTCCCCACACCCATTCCCAACCCAATGCTGGGGCCTTCTGAAAAGGAGCAAATTAAACAGTAAACCAGACAGCAAGGCCCTGGGGGAAAGAACAGCATCCCTGAATAAATGATGGAGTCCAGGAAGGTCTCTTGTGGAAGTTGACTTGACTCTAATTTTCTTTGTAACTTTAAGCCTTGGATACTGGAGGAGAAATCTCATTTTGTCAAGTCTCAGACCATGTCTATGTCAAGTCTCAGCAATCCCCTCAGTGTCCTCTGAACACCAAGAACACCCCTAGATCAGGTTGGGTTATGCCTCTAAACAGGATGGCTGTGGTACCTTGGGGGCTGGCTCTTATCCGAGCTGCTAAGTGAGTTTCCAGCCTCATTGTGGCTGGACAGCCCCTAAAATTCAGTATGTAACTCCAGAAAGTCAGGAGAGAATTAAGATTTGCTTAGATGAGCACAGGCTGGCTTTGTAGACCATCTGTAAAGGGCCCCAAGTCATGGGGGTCAACCACGCCTCTCTTCAGTACTCTTATCCTTACAGAGGCTGTTTTTTGTTTTGTTTTGGTTTGGTTTTTTTAAAGATGGGGTTTTACCATGATGGCCAGACTGTTCTTGAACTCTTGACCTCAGGTGATCCACCCACCTTGGCCTCCCAAAGTGCTAGGATTACAGGCGTGAGCCACCACGCCCAGCACAGAGGCTGGTTTCTAACAGCTGCTTCCACTGCCCCTCCCATGATAGACCCTGAGGAAGCCACTGACAGGTGGGGGCGCATCACCACCTCTGTCAGTCACTGGTGCTCAGCCACCTCCTAGCCTAGCTTCCTCTGGTGTGCTGTTTCCTTTCCTACTTACTGTTGGTCCCTCCCAGCCCCTGCAATGCCAGCGTGGCCACACTCTTAGTGTGTTGAATTAGCACACGCGAGGGCGCCCGCACGTGCACACACACACACACACACACACACACGCCCTGCTGCATTTGGAAAAACCATGCCTGCCAGATTGTAGCAGAGGTGAGGAAGCAAGTGGGCAGCTTGCCTGACCCAGCTTCCCAGGAGAGCCTGTCTCAACAGAGAGGCTCCACACTCTAGTTCAGGGCTATCGACCTGCCTCAATGAGATAACAAAGTCATTTGGGAGGGGTGTTGTAAACTAGTTTTCAGTGAGAATAGTTAAGTTCCAGAGCTTATAAAGGATTCAGTGACTTACACTTCAAAAAATTAGGCCAGGCACGGTGGCTTATGCCTGTAATTCCAACACTTTGGGAGACTGAGCCAGGCAGATCATTTGAGGTCAGTTCAAGACCAGCCTGACCAACATGGTGAAATCCTGTCTCTACTAAAAATACAAAAATTAGCCAGGTGTGGTGGCACATGCCTGTAATCCCAGGTACTTGGGAGGTTGAGGCAGAAGAATTGCTTGAACCTGGGAGGTGGAGGTTACAATGAGCTGAGACTGCACTACTGCACTCCAGCCTGGGTGACAAAGCAAGACTGTTTCGGGAAAAAAAAAAAAAAAAAAACAACTCAGAGAGATGCAGGTTTTCATGCTCAGATGCTTGCATTCAGGTATGCTTTCTTTTTTGAGAGCGACAAATGGGTCACAGCTGGTACCCTGGGAATAGCACATAATCCAGGGTGTGTCTGTGGTGGTGGACATGCAGGAGGACGCCATCTGTCCTGTGTTATGATGGGAAAACAATCATGAACCACTGGTCTAAATTAGGGCTGGCCATGCTTTCTCAGCCCCTCCCTCATTTAAATCTGTCTTCCCAAGGCTGAGCTAGAATGAAACCATTTCTCCTCTGTAGGAATGATGGGCTGGTCATTCAGAGGAACAATAGCAGGGCTGGGAGGTTTGCAGCTGAATTCCCCAGGCATGGGGGTGCAGGGTTTCCCTGATGTGTACCCAAAGCAGAGCTTGCTGGCCTATGACCTCTGCCCTTGCTCCCCCAGTGTAAGACTCCCCAGGAGGCAGCTCGGGCCTGAACCTCTCAACCAGGAATTGGGTTTATTTTATTTTTTTTGTTAGCATCGGGTTCTGAAGGGAGTTGGTAAACATTTTGTTTTGGAAGCATCTTCTGGACTTAAGCCAGAACTTAGTGTCTCCCTTACTATGGAAAGAGGAGAATGGACAGAAATGGTTTAACTGTGTGGGGTTTTGTTTGTTTTGTTTTAAATGGAAGAAAGACCAAAACTTTCCTGCTGAATCAGCTGGGGCCTTTGACCCTGCACTAACCATGGCATTTTATCCAGGTGAAGTCCAGGGAAAGAATTCAGCCAAATGGACTAAGGAACACATGAGTTTGGAATGCGAGACCGTGACGTTTTTGTGTTCTTGGAAATCCAGTTCCCTCCCCATGCCCAGATTTCCTTCCTGCCTCATGGACCAGGCTCTGACACTGAGGTTCTCACTGCTCCCAGCACAGGCAAAGCCTCCTGAGGGCTGGAGGGGTGGCAAGGGGAGAGGAGAATGGGAAAGAAGCACTTGATGTAGTTGTGTGGAATAAACAGTATTTTTTCTTTTGTCTGGTCCGCTTGTTTCCTGTTCACTTGTCAAGGTAGAGATAGAAGGGAACCAGTGTCAGAGGCTAGGGAAGTGACAGCCTTTGCTGTCAGCTTGCAGCCTGGAAAATCCCATTGCAAGAAAGCAGGGGTCAGTGCTCTGGATTCCCACCTCAGAAGTCCCTGCTTGAGCCTTCCTGCCACCACGACCTTCCCTACAGGGCACACAGTCCACAGACCAATGGGGTGTGTCCTTTCTCCTTTTAGATCACCTTTCTTTTCTTTTCTTTTTCTTTTTTTTTAAGATGGGGTTTCACCACAATGTTGGCCAGGCTGGTCCCAAACTCCTAATCTCAAGTGATCCGCCCACGTCAGCCTCCCAAAGTGCTGGGATTACAGGCATGAGCCACCACGCCCAGCTTAAAATCACCTTTCTTATTCCTAGGACCCCAGAATTCTCTGCCAAGCCCACTTCCTGGATCCCTGCTTTCTGGGTTCCAAGAGTTGTGCTGTTGGTGTGCACACTTGTAGGTCTAAGACGTGGTTATCTTAGTCTGCTCTGGTTGCTACAACAAAGTACCTTAGATTCAGTGACTTACAGACAACAGAAATTTCTTGTTCATGGTTTTGAAGACTGGGAAGTCCAAGATCAAGGTCAAGATCAAGGTCGATGTCTGATGAAAGCCCTCTTCCTCATAGACCGGTGTCTTTTCACTGTAAACTCACATGGTGGAAGGGCAAGCAAGCTCCCTTGGCCTCTTTTATAAGGAAGCTAATCCCACTAATCCTACTCAACTAATCGCCTTCCAAAAGGCCCCACCTTAATACAGTCGGCCCTCCATATTCCTGGGGTCTGCGTCCTCAGATGGAAAACACAGTATTCAAAAATAGCAACAGGCCGGGCATGGTGGCTCATGCCTGTAATTCCAGAACTTTTGGAGGCCAAGGCAGCCAGATTGCCTGAGCTCTGGAATTTGAGACCAGTTTGGGCAACATGGTAAAACCCCGTCTCTACTAAAAATACAAAAATTAACTAGGTGTGTTGGTACATTCCTGTAATCCCAGCTATTCGGGAGGCTGAGGCACAAGAACTGCTTTAACCTGGGAGATGAAGGTTACAGTGAGCCAAGATCACACTACTACACTCCAGCCTGGGGAACAGAGTGAAACATTGTCTCCAAACAAACAACAAAACAAAAACAACACAACCCCCAATACAACAATAAAAAACAATACAAACAAGGGCAATATAGTATAACTATTTACATAGCATTTACGTTGTGTTAGATATAAGTAATGTAGAGATAAATTTATGCAAGAGGATGTGCATAGGAGATTGTGTGTAAATACTACACTGTTTTTGGTGGGTTTTGTTTTGTTTTTTATTTTTGTTTTGTTTTGTTTTTTGAGACGAAGTCTCTCACCAGGTTGGAGTGCGGTGGTGCAGTCTTGGCTCACTGCAACCTCTGCCTCCCACGTTCAAGTGATTCTCCTGCCTCAGCCTCCCGAGTAGCTGGGATTACAGGCACCTGCCACCATGCCCAGCTAATTTTTTTTTCTTTTTTATTTTTAGCAGAGATGGGGTTTCACCATGTTGTCCAGGCTGGTCTCAAACTCCTGACCACACCTGGCCTTATTTTGTGTTTTTGAGACAGAGTCTCACTTGTTGGCCCAGGCTGGAGTGCAGTGCCGTGATCACAGCTCACTCAATTTCCCTGGCTCAAGTGATCCTCCCACATCAATCTCCCGAATGGCTGGAAATGCAGGCATGTGCCACCACACCTAGCTAATTTTTTTATTTTTATTTTTAGAGATGGTTGTCCCACTATGTTGCCCAGGCTGGAGTACAGCATTTTATATGAGAGACTTGAGCACCTGTGGATTTTGGTATCCTCAGGCATCCTGAAACTAATCCCTAACAGATACAAAAGGACAACTATACTATCACATTGGGAATTAAGTTTCATTATAGGAATTTTTGGGAAACAAACATTCAGCCCATAGTGGCCAAAGGACAGCTGTTTGTCAGACAGTTGGGTGACAGAGCTTGGATATGTAGACTGGGGTGTCTACACATGTACGTGAGGCTCTTTGCAGTGCGAGATGGGGAGAGGGAAGAGAAGGCAGACAATGGGCTGAGGGCCAGGACTGGGGCACATTGTAGCTTGGGACTTCAAGGAGTTCTAAATCCAAACCTGGCCTCATCACTATGAAGGTATATATATATATATACTTACCAGGATAGGATGCAAGAACATTCATAGTTTGATCTATACTTTATAGCTAGGTGACTAGGCTGGGTGTGGTGGCTTATGCCTGTAATCCCAGCACTTTGGGAGGCTGAGGAGGGTGGATCAAGAGGTCAGGAGTTAGAGACCAGCCTGACCAACATGGAGAAATCCTGTCTCTACTAAAAATACAAAAAAATAAAAAATAAAAATATCTGGGCATGGTTGTGCGTGCCTGTAATTCCAGCTACTCGGGAGGCTGAGGCAGGAGAATTGTTTGAACCTGGGAGGCGGAGGTTGTGGTGAGCCAAGATTGCACCACTGCACTCCAGCCTGGGCAACAAAAGCAAAACTTTGTCTTAAAAAAAAAAAAAGTGAGCCGGGCGCGGTGGCTCACGCCTGTAATCCCAGCACTTTGGGAGGCCGAGGCGGGTGGATCACGAGGTCAAGAGATCGAGACCATCCTGGTCAACATGGTGAAACCCCATCTCTACTAAAAATACAAAAAATCAGCTGGGCATGGTGGCGCATGCCTGTAATCCCAGCTACTCAGGAGGCTGAGGCAGGAGAATTGCCTGAACCCAGGAGGCGGAGGTTGCGGTGAGCCGAGATCGTGCCATTGCACTCCAGCCTGGGCAACAAGAGCGAAACTCCGTCTCAAAAAAAAAAAAAAAAAAAAAAAAAGTGACTATACGGTAAGCAAGACTTTTTGTATTATTCCCCAGGGCTGTCACCCAAGCTTAGAGCTGAGAGCACACCTGTCATAAGGGTCTCTCTTGGCTTGTCTACCTCCTAAGAGCAGAGTTCATGACATCTCCCTCTCAGGTCCCCCTCCCCTGACACCCAGCTGGTATCAATGAGGTCTGGGCTACCTAATCTAAACTGGTGAGAGCAGCCAGTCACTGTGGCTCAAGCCTGTAATCCCAGCACTTAAAGAGGCTAAGGAGGGTGAATCACCTGAGGTCCGGAGTTTGAGACCAGCCTGGCCAACATGGCAAAACCCTGTCTCTACTAAAATTACAAAATTGGTCAGGTGTTGGGGACACATGCCTGTAATCTCAGCTACTCGGGAGGCTGAGACATGAGAATCACTTGAGCCTGGGAGGCAGAGGCTGCAGTGAGCCGAGATCAAGCCACTGCACTCAAGCCCGGATGACAGAGTGAGACTCTGTCTCAAAAAAAATAAACAAACAAGTAAATAAAAATAAAATAAACTGGTGAAAGCAAGACATTACCTTTGATTCTACCCAACCAACATTCCTGAGCCAGGCGCTATGCTGGATTCTGGACCATGCCCCACTTCTCCACCCTCACCCAGGGAGATAATGAATGTCTAAACCTCTGAAGCAAAGCTTAGGGATCAGAGGAGTTTTACGGTACTCTGAAATAACAGGGCAAAAATTCAAACAGACACCAGCAATGACCTTTTGCATAGATCTTACAACCCCGATATTAGCTATCCACACTGGGCTGTAACTCCTCATACACAGGCTAGGGGCATACAGTAGGTGCTTGATAAATGGCAGATGATTGACTGAATGCATTTCATACCCTCTCCTTCATGGAAATAATGACAGCTGAGTCCCTGACTTCAGGTACCTGGGAGAAATGAGGAAATATGAGATTCAGCTTAGCTATGCCAGGTTTGGTGTGTGAAATGTGAGAGTGAACAGAATCTGGGCAGCAGCTGGCTGTGACCTGAGAGAGACAGCTCCAAGCAGCTCCCACCAGGAGAGTCAGTTGGAGCTGCTAGCTCTGGCTTAGACCAGTTGAAGGTGGCTCTTGGCAGTTGGCCCAGGAAAGCTTTAGAGGATGAAGGGACTACAGTCTTCATTCCCAGGCCTGGGAATTCTATTGTGTTGTGGATGGCTCTGAAGCAGGAGCTGCTGTTTTATGGATGTGGGCTGGTTTCCAGACTAGAGGGGAGAGAGAAGAAAAACGTGAGGTGGAACTGTGTGCCTGTCAAACTTCTGATTTCCTTTCCTATCAACTGCAATGTTCTTCAGAGAAGCCACACTAGGCCTCACATGTGGACAGCAGGAAGATGTGAAGAGATAACATGAGATGGTCAGTCTCTAAAAAAGCCTGCTTCTACATGTCCACTGACGCACTAGGGAAACCAATGACTGACTTGAGTATTTGAGTGAAAAGGGAAGGCTGGGGGATGAATGGGTACTGACCCAAGGCACGCGAGCCTTCAAGCCTCTGAGAGAATTGATTTGTCTCTTAAGAGACAGGCAAGACAGCGGCTAGGGTACCTTCCTTGTTCATAATAACATTAGCTAACCTTTACTGATCACTAGTGCTAGGCACTCTTGTAAGCACTTAACATGCACCATCTCAGTTAATTCTCACAATAATTCTATAAAGTAAGAAATATTATTATATCCACTTTGCAGATAGGGAATTGAGGTAGATATATCATGAGGAATCTAGTCAGGGCTGCTTTGTGAACAGGAGAACAAGGATTTGAACCCAGGTAGGCTGTCTGTAAAGCTTTTGAGCTTAACTTTACCCCATATAGGCTCTGAGAGGTGGGTGGGATCTTGGGGTGGCTGTGTGTTCTGATCTCCACCTACCAGGGTAAACCCTGCTGTGTCCCATCTAGATGGTGTCCAGTTTTAGGATCCAATCTAGGGAAATGGATGCTCCATGATAAGCTTTAACTTCAACAGTCCAGAACATTGAATTTGGAGCTCTGTGCCACAGGTACTCTGGTTTATTACGTGTAATAGAAGCCAGGATTTTTATTGTGGGATGAATTTATGGGTATAAAAATTTGATCTATTGATAGGTGTTGCTTTATTCCTTCCTTCCTTCTTTCTTTCCTTCCTTCCTTCCTTCCTTCCATCCTTCCTGACTTCCACTCTCTTTCTCTCTTTCACTCTCTTTTTTTCTTGTTTTTTTTTGAGATAGAGTCTCACTCTTGTTGCCCAGGCTGGAGTGCAGTGGCGCAATCTCGGCTCACTGCAACCTCTGCCTCCCGAGTTCAAGCAATTCTCCTGCCTCTGCCTCCCGAGCAGCTGGGATTACAGGCATGAGCCACCATGCCTGGCTAATTTTGTATTTTTAGTAGAGACGAGGTTTCTTCATGTTGGTCAGGCTGGTCTCGAACTCCTAATCTCAGATGATCCACCTGTCTCAGCCTCCCAAAGTGCTGGGATTACAGGCATGAGCAACTGCACCCGGCCCTGGAATTTCATTCTTGTTGCTGAGGCTGGAGTGCGATGGCACAATCTCAGCTCACTGCAACCTCCACCTCCTGGGTTCAAGCGATTCCCCTGCCTCAGCCTCCCAAGTAGCTGGGATTACAGGTGCATGATACCAGGCCTGGCTAATTTTTGTATTTTTAGTAGAGATGGGGTTTCACCATGTTGGCCCAACTGGTCTCAAACTTCTGACTCAGGTGGTCCACCCACCTCAGCCTCCCAAAGTGATGGGATTACAAGCGTGAGCCACTGTGCCAGGCCCGGTGTTGCTGGATTTCTAATCGAACATCTAGTGGTCTTTTCTTGGAGGCGGAGCCTTCAGGGCTGCTCCTGGAATCTCTGTTTCTCCTCCTGGCACTCCAATTTCACTCTTAGTTACTTTGGGGTGGGGAGAGGATGGGAAAAGTCCACTTTCCTAGTCACAGAATTCCAGCAATAAACAATGTGTAAAGTCTTCTTTCCCGAGGGGGACATTGGGCTCAATGGCATAATTCTCCAGGCTGACCTTCACTTCACTTGGGAGGGGCTGAGGCTTAGAAGTCTCCTCTCATTTCACCTCAGTGTATTGTAGAATTAATAAATCACAAGGAGGACCTCTGTGAACTGTTTATTTTGGTTCAGAATTTAAACTTAGTCTCAAACATTTCCAAGAAGTACATGTCTGTCTTTTTCTAAATATTTTCCAGGTCACGGGGCTCCCTGATATTCCTGGATGTGGCACAGTCATTTCTTCCAAACATCTAATATGATTACTCCTTGTTTTTTTATTTTTTATTGTTGTTTTTCTTTTCTTTTTTCTTTTTCTTTTTTTTTTTTTTTTTTTGCCATACATCTGCCTTTATTATTAGCAGCAGGTGGGGACACTTCCAGCAATAGTAAAAAAAGTAATTTACAAAAGCAGAGATTCAGTGAAGCTGGTTGTTACCCTTGGGCGCTCACACATAGATGCCGACCCAGAGCAGCAGGAAGAGGACTCCAAAGCCCATGAAGAGTGAAGCCACCAAGGAGATGAGGAGCTCTTTATAGATATCATGAGTGTACTTGGTAGAGGTGACCTCATAAACGAAGACCCAGGCAGTGAAGAACATGCCGATGGCCAAAAGCACCACGGTCAGATGGGGGAAGACAGCTGGGTTCACTGAGCTGGGGTATCTGACTCGAGCTCCATTTTGCCCAGCTCAGGCTAAGCCGCTGCTCCGCCACCGGTATTGTTGTTTTTCTTAATTATTAGTTACTCCTTGGTTTTTAAAGTCCCTTCCCTTTGAGCTATTCTGTGGATGAGAAAACATGCATCATCCAATATTCCTTCATGGGCACAATTTTCTGAAAATTCAATGTTCTCACTTCCACAAGTTTCAAAACTCTTCTCTGAAAGGAAGAGTAGGTAAGAAGCAGATCTTTTTAAAGCTTATATATATACATATATATAAATATATATATATATATATATATATATATATATATTGCAATAGTGCAATCTTGGCTCATTGCAGCCTCTGCCTCCCAGGTTCAAGTAGTTCTCCTGCCTCAGCCTCCCAAGTAGTTGGGACTATAGGCATAAGCCACCATGCCCGGCTAATTTTTTCTTTTTTTTTGCTCCCAACTCTCCCCAAATTTTTGTATTTTTAGTAGAGATGGGGTTTTGCCATGTTGGCCAGGCTGGTCTCGAACTCCTGAACTTAGGTGATCTGCCTGCCTTGTCTGTCCAAAGTGCTGGGATTACAGGCATGAGCCACCGTGCCCGGCTTCTTATTCCCTTTTTAATTCAATAAACATGTTTAAAAGTCCTATTGAATGCAGGAACTATAGTAGGAGATATTAGAACACAAGCCTGAAAAAGACCTATTCCTTACACTTTAGATGAATCTGGTGACAGAGGCAGATATATACAAATGTATAATTCAAGGCAGATTTTTTAAAATTCAGCAATGGAATACAACAATGAACGAGTACTTTCACATAAATGCAATGTCTTGTAGTGAAAAATGCCAGGCTTTGGAATCAGCTCTGAAGCTGGCATGTTAATTTAGCTCTGGCCAATTTAAGCGCTTATGAGAGTCATGGCTTGGTGTGGTGGCTCACGCCTGTATTCCCAGCACTTTGGGAGACCGAGGCAGGCAGATCACCAGGTCGAGATCGAGACCATCCTGGCCTACACGGTGAAAACCCATCTCTACTAAAAATACAAAAAATTAGCTGGGCATGGTGGCGCATGCCTGTAATCCCAGCTACTTGGGAGGCTGAGGCAGGAGAATCGCTTGAACTAGGGAGTCAGAAGTTGCAGTGAGCTGAGATCACGTCGCTGAACTCTAGCCTGGCAACAGAGAGAGACTGTGTCTCAAAAATAAATAAATAAATAATGAGAGTTATTACACTTACCTTTATAATTCTAATTCCAAGATTGCTTTGAGGACTACTCAGTGAAATAAAGTTCCTAAAAATAGTTGCTAATTAATAAACAATGGCCATTATTACTCTATCCTCAAAGGAGGAAGGTGGAGCAGATATAGTTACTATTTACAAACGAGGAAGGTAAATCTCAGTGAGATTAAGCCATTATTCTGAAGACATGAGATTAAGCCATTATTCCGAAGACACCAAAGTAGTAAGTGAAGATGTCAGCCCAAACTCTGATTTTCAGATTTTTTTTTTTTTTTTAGAGACAGGGTTTCACCATGTTGGCCAGGCTAGTCTCGAACTCCTGGCCTCAAGTGATCCACCTGCCTCGGCCCCCCAAAGTGCTGGGATTACCGGTGTCAAACACAGCGCCCAGCCAATTTTCAGATCTTTTAAATTCCAACACCCCATACCAGCACAACCTTTTAAAAACCGCATTTTTACTGATCTCATGTTTTTCTGTCCAAATCCATTAGGGAGGATGCCCAAGATAAAATGAATATGGAAGGAAGTGGGACTTAAGTAGGGTCTTGACCTCCGGAGAGGCGAATTTAAGGAAACAGGAGGATGAGCAGGTGCAAGCGCGCGCATGTAAGGAGCGTTTGGGAAGCCGTCAAGAGTTCGCAGGGATGGAGTGGGTTCATAAGGCTAGAAGGAGGGCTCCTCCCATGGCTCAGGATGACGACTTGATGGGTAGCGGATACCAGAGCTCCGGTAACCACACGGATAGACGTTTAAACCCGTACACTTGTAAGCCAAGTCCTCTCTGTGATCTTGTAGCCCATCTCGGGGGCGGAGCCGTGGCATAGCCAGCCTATCATCGCTGCCGAGACCGACGAAGTCTCTTCAGCATTGGTGAACAACAGCGTGACGTCATGTTCGCCCGGCTGGCGAAGGAAGAGGACGCCATGATTGGTTGGCGCTGGGGCGGCGGGCGGTGGAAGGGCCTGGCGGTTCTGGATTTCACGCCTGTGCTGGACTTTTTCCTTCCATGTTTCCAGGCCGTGGGGAGCTGCAGAGGGCGAGGAGTCGACTCAGCGGAAAGCTGGATTTGGTTCTAAGCCGCGGAGTTGAGAAGGGGTGACCGGAAGTGATCGTGGGACTGACCGGAAGCGAGGCCTGGAGGGGAAAGAGAGCGCGATCCCTGGGAGGGAGGGGGCCTCCAGCAGAAGGGGGCGGGGGAAAAGGTCCAAAAGCAGCGTGGGAGCGCCGGGCTGTCTTCCTGCGGCTGCTCCTGGTCTGTCTGGGAAGCAGCAAGCCACCCCTACTAGCTCAAGGGGATATCCTGCTAAGTGGGAGTGCGGGAGTCCAGAACTGCCTCTGGGAAGTCTGCGGTAGTTGAGCAAAGGGAGCCTCACGTTCTCGAGAGCTCGGCAGGGGAGATTTTGGAGCCTGGGGCAGCCAAGAGCGATCAGCCAAAGATTCGGGAGATAATTGTGCGAGCAGTGCTGGTAGGGTTTGGGGGTGGCTGGTGGGTACTGCGTGGGAAACCTTGGTTTGTAGTTTTCTACTGTCTTGCCCCTGTTGGGTAGAATTACCCTCCGCGCCTTTGTACAAGACACGGTGTCTCCTGGGGCAAGGAAGGAGCCAGGATGGCCTGGGCTCTGAAGCTGCCTCTGGCCGACGAAGTGATTGAATCCGGGTTGGTGCAGGACTTTGATGCTAGCCTGTCCGGGATCGGCCAGGAACTGGGTGCTGGTGCCTATAGCATGAGGTGAGTGAGATTTTCCCAGACCGTACACCTTCTTAATAACAAAGGCGGGATAGAGACTAAGAAAAGGGGTTGAGTGAGAAGGAGATATATAGAGTTTTAAAAAGCTGCCTGTGAATGGGGAAAAGGGACTTAGTAGTCAGTGTTGTGGAAGAAATGGAAAAAGTGATTGTAGGCAATATGAAGCCTGCGCAGGATCTGTGGAGGAAGGAAGAATGGTCCTTGATTAGCAACCAGATGAATGTTGAGAGGCTTTTGTGCCAATGTGGGAGACTTGGGGACTGATGGTGTATGTGTGGGTAAGTCTGACGTTATGTGAAGAAGGGGTTACATATAGCATAGGAAGGATGTCTAGGATGTTGGGAAATTGGGAGCTGGTGCTTAATGATGAATATTGGTTCGTTGCTTGTTGGAAAAGATATGGAAGTCCTTGATGAAGAAGTCCATACAGCTGTATCTTATCACTAGCTTGCTTTGAGGCTTTTCTTAATTCTGGGATTTCTGACTTTTAAAACATAAGCTGTGAAATGAAAAAGTGACAAAGAAAACTCTAAGATGCTTCTAAATCTTTATGTATCAAGTCAATTGTTGGTAACAGATTAAAAATCTCCTTTCGGCAGGGTGCGGTGGCCCACGCCTATAATCCCAATTCTTTGGGAGGCTGAGACAGGCAGATCACCTGAGGTCGGGAGTTTGAGACTAGCCTGGCCAACAAGGTGAAACCCTGACTCTACTAAAAATAAAAAAAAGTTAGCCAGGTGTGTTGGCGTGGGCCTGTAATCCCAGATACTTGGAAAGCTGAGGCAGGAGAATCACTTGAATGGTGGAGGTTGCAGTGATCAGAGGTGGTGCCACTGCACTCCAGCCTTGGGGACAGAGTGAGACTCTGTTTCAGAAACAAAACAAAACAGAAACTCATTTGAAAGCAGCATTACTGCCTGTATAACTTTTTGCATGTATTGGCTACTTCGTTTCTCTCTATAGTTTATTTAATTTTAGATGTGCAGGAATCCTGTTTGGAAATGTTGAAACAGCTGCATCTTGGGGTTAGATGGACTATAATTGGGTTTCCTAATGCATTATAAGACTTAACCTAGATAAGTGAGTCAAGAGACTAGAACTTAACTTTTTTTTTTTTGAGACGGTATTTTGCTTTCGTCGCCCAGGCTGGAGTGCAATGGCACGATCTTGGCTCACTGCAGCCCCCGCCTCCTGGGTTCAAGTGATTCTCCTGCCTCAGCCTCCCAAGTAGCTGGGATTACAGGCACCCGCCACCATGCTCGGCTAATTTTGTTGTTGTTGTTGTTGGTATTTTTAGTAGAGATGGGGTTTTACCAGGTTGGCCAGGCTGCTCTCAAACTCCTGACCTCAGGTGATCCACCTGCTGAGGCCTCCCAAAGTGTTGGGATCACAGGCGTGAGCCACTGTGCCCCACCAGAACTTAACATTTTCACTGGGTTTGTGAGTTTGTAGGGGAAAAATGCTTTCTATGGGGAAAGTAGATGCATTTTTCATTCTGATAGTGAGATCTTTTAAGAGTTATGTAAAGTTCCTTTATTCGTGCTAATTCAAAGTGGACTTTCCTCACTGAAGTAAAATAATGAGTTAAAATTTAATACTTCAGCATCTTCAGGAATCTTTACTTATAATAATAAAGACTATTATTCTAAATAATAATCAAGACTATTATTCTAAATAATAATCATGCCTGTAACGCTAGCACTTTTGGAGGCAGAGATTGGAGGATCCCTTGAAACCAGGAATTCCAGACCCACTCTTCACAAATAGATCAACAAATAAACAAATTACCCAGGCCTGGTGGCATTGTCCTATAGCCCCAGCTACTCAGGAGACTGAGGTGGGAGGATTGCTTGAGCCCAGGAGTTTGAGTCTGCAGTGATTGTGATTGTACCACTGTACTCCAGCCTAGTGACAGAATGAGACCTCATCTCTTAAAAAAAAAAAGGATTTAAAAATTAAGAAACATTGGGAAAAAAGACTATCCTTGTATACATATTTTAGTGATTTTCAGGGAAACATGAGTTCTGTGTGTTCTATCATGCAATGATCTTAGTCTTGAGAAGTTTAACTTTGGTTTTACCTGTCCTTGTTTATATAAGTCCGAGCATAAAAATAGAGGTTTTATTTTGTTTTTTGAGATGGAGTCTCACTGTCACCCAGGCTGGAGTGCAGTAGTACAATCTCAGCTCACTGCAACCTCTGCCTCCCGGGTTCAAGTGATTCTCCTGCCTCAGCCTCCCGAGTAGCTGGGATTACAGACACACACCACCACGCCTAGCTAATTTTTGTATTTTTAGTAGAGACAGGGTTTCACCATGTTGGTCAGGCTGGTCTTGAACTCCTGACCTTGTGATCTGCCTGCCTTGGCCTCCCAAAGTGCTAGGATTACAGGCATGAGCCACCGTGCCTGGGCAAAAATAGAGGTTAATTTGGTCTGAAAGCAAATGCCCTGACCTGGAACTTACACATGAGCATCTCACATAATATTTGACAATTTTTTATGCTGTTGCTTGTGTAAAGATATCCACAACAAAAAGTTTGATTTTGTTTAGGTTACGAGAGGTTAGGATGGAAATAATTAACTATAACTGTACTTATTATTAAAAATAATTAACATCATCAGCAAACGTTTATTCATCTACTATGCGCACTACCATATGCTCTTGATACTATGCTATCTTACATTTAATTAAGAGTGCTTTACAAATCATATCCTGTGTGGTTTTCACAGATATTAGAATGGCTTGCATATTTACGCATTTAGTTTTTTTCAACATCAAAATCAAATGCACAGGTTTTCAAACATCTCTTTGAGTTCTTGAGAGCACAGTGTGCCAACATTTTAAGTACTTTTTTCTTTTCTTTCTTTCTTTTTTTTTTTTTTTTTTTGAGATGGCTCCGTTCTGTCACCCAGGCTGGGGTGCAGTGGCACCATCTCGACTCACTGCAGCCTCCATCTCCTGAGCTCAAGTCATCCTCACACCTCAGCCTCCCGAGTAGCTGACACTGCAGGCACACACCACTACGCCCAGCCTCTTTGTTTTTTCATCTTTTTTTTCATGTGTTAGGTACTCGTCATTATTCTCTTGACGCTTATGCGCATTTAACCTTTTCTATTAATTTGTGTTAATTAGATATTGGTCTTCAAATTTTAATATTCATAAGAGTCACCTGGAGTGCTTATTAAAAATACACTTGGGGCTGGGCATGGTGGCTCACACCTGTAATCCCAGCACTTTGGGAGGCTGAGGCGGGCAGATCATGAGGTTAGGAGTTAGAGACCATCCTGGCTAACACGGTGAAACCCTGTCTCTACTAAAAATACAAAAAATTAGCCAGGTGCGGTGGCACGTGCCTGTAGTCCCAGCTACTCGTAGGAGGCTGAGGCAGGAGAATCACTTGAACCCGGGAAGTGGAGGTTGCAGTGAACCAGGATAGTGCCACTGCACTCCAGCCTAGGCAAAAGAGCGAGACCCTGTCTCATTAAAAAAATACACTTGGGGGCTGGGCGTGGTGGCTCATGCCTGTAATCCTAGCACTTTAGGAGGCTGAGGTGGATGAATCACCTGAGGTCAGGAGTTTGAGACCAGCCTGGCCAACATAGTAAAACCCTGTCTCTACTAACAATACAAAAATTAGTTGGGCATGGTGGCACACGCCTGTAATCCCAGCTATCTGGGAGGCTGAGGCAGAAAAATCGCATGAATCCGGGAGGAGGAGGTTGCAGTGAGCTGAGATTGTGCCACTGCACTCCAGTCTGGGCAACAGAGCTAGACTGTGTCTCAAAAAAATGCAATAAAAATAAAAATGTAGTTGGGGGCTATATTGGTGGCTCACACCTGGAATCCTAGCACTTTGGGAAGCCAAAGTGGGAGGACTGCTTGAGCCCAGCAGTTTTCATCAGCCTGGGCAACATCAGGAGACCCTCTCTCTACTAAAAATAAAAAAATCAGCTGAGTGTGGTGGTGCCTTCTCCTAGTCCCAGCTACTCTGGAGGCTGAAATGAGAGGACCATTTGAGCCTAGTAGTTCAAGCCTGCAGTGAACTATGATTGTGCCACTGAACTCCAGCTTGGGTGACTAAGTGAGACCCTGTCTCAAAAAAATTTTAAAAAAAATCCAGTTTAGGGGCCCATCTCCAGTGATTGGGGCACAGACTAGAAATCTGATTTATTTGTTTATTTATTTATTAGAGATGGGGTCTGGTTTTGTTGCCAACGCTGGAGTATAGTGGCCCAGTCACAGCTCACTGCTGTCTTAAATTCCTGAGCTAAAGCAGTCATCCCTAGTAGCTAGGGGTATGTACAGTCATGAGATATCATGTCTGGCTGGTTTAAAAAAATTTTTTTTTAATTTATTTTTTTTGAGAGGGAGTCTTGCTTTGTCACCCAGGCTGGAGTGCAGTGATGTGATCTCGGCTCACTGCAGTCTTTGCCTCCTGGGTTCAAGCAGCTCTCCTGCCTCAGCCTCCTGAGTAGCTGGGACTACAGCCATGGGCTACCATGCCCTGCTAAATTTTATATTTTTAGTATAGACCAGTTTTCACCATGTTGGCCAGGCTGGTCTCAAACTCCTGACCTCAGGTGATCCACCTGCCTCGGCCTCCCAAAGTGCTGGGATTACAGGTGTGAGCCACCGCGCCCAGCCTCTGTTCCTTTTTCTTTGTTCATTTATTTTTCTTGCTCCACAGCTTAAGTAATTTCAATTCTATCTTCATGTTCATTGATTCTTTGTTCTGCCTGTATCTTGAATCTTTAGTGAAATCTTTATTTCAGCTAGTGTATCTTTATGTCCAGAATTTCTATTTCGTTCCTTTTTATATTTTAAAAATATTTTTATTGATATTTCTTACTTGTTTATATATTGTTCTCCTGATTTCCTTTAGTTTTTATTTTGTTTTGTTTTCACTGTTTCCTTCAACTTTATGAGCATATTTAAGACAGTTAATTTAAATTCTTTGTCTAGTAAGTCCATTGTCTGGGC